CATATGCTGCGGCAGTTATTTGGTTGATGTGCGCTCAGGGGAGTGCCGGTGTTATACTCACCCCAAGATCTTTTTTCCCTTTAGTGATGTTTGTAGTCTCTGGCCCTGTAGACCGTACTCGTCTGCGGTCTTCTTTGCCCTTCCACAATCCTCATGACTTTGGGACTTGGTGGGATTGAACTCCAGGACCAGTTGCTGGACCAGGTCTGCAGCCTGTCCAGATCCCTTTGTATTTCTGCTTGGTCTTCGAAACGAATGAACTCTTTTCATCAACTTCACGTCATCTGCAAACAGGGACACCTCGAGTTTTTTCCTTCCGTCATGTCGTTCACAAATACCAGGAACAGCACTGGCCTAGGATGACCCCCGTGGGACCCCGCTGGTCACAGGTGCCCACTCTGACACCTCGCCACGTACCATTACTCGCTGCTGTCTTCCTGACAAGTATTCCCTGATCCATTGCAGTGCCTTCCCTGTTATCCCTGCTTAGTCCTCCAGTTTTTGCACTAATCTCTTGTGTGGTACTGTGTCAAACGCCTTCATGCAGTCCAAGAAAATGCAGTTCACCCACCCCTCTCTCTCTCTTGTCTTACTGCTATCACCATGTCATAGAACTCCAGTAGGTTTGTTACCCAGGATTTCCCGTGTCTGAAACCATGTTGGCTGCTGGTGATGAGATCATTCCTTTCTAGATGTTCCACCATTCTTCTCCTGACAATCTTTTCCATGATTTAGCATGCAATACATGTCAGAGACACTGGTCTGTATTTTAGTGCTTCATGTCTGTCTCCTTTTTTAAAGATTGGGACAACATTTGCTGTTTTCAATGCCTCAGGCAATCTCCCTGTTTCAATAGATGTATTGAATATCCTTGTTAGGGGTACACATAGCGCCTCTGCTCCCTCTCTCAATACCCATGGAGAGATGTTATCTGGCCCCATTGCCTTTGAGGTATCTAGCTCACTCAGAAGCCTCTTCACTTCTTCCTCGGTTGTGTGTACTGTGTCCAGCACATGGTGGTGTACCCCACCTCTCCGTCTTTCTGGAGCCCATTCTGTCTCCTCTGTGAACACATCTTTGAATCTCTTGTTGAGTTCCTCACATACTTCACGGTCATTTCTTGTTGTCTCTCCTCCTTCCTTCTTTAACCTATTACCTGGCCTTGACGGTTGTTTTTTCCCTGATGTGGCTGTATAACAGCTTCGGGTCAGATTTGGCTTTTGCTGCTATGTCGTTTTCATATTGACGTTGGGCCTCCCTTCTTATCTGTGCATATTCGATTCTGGCTCTACGACTGCTCTCCTTATTCTCCTGGGGCCTTTGCCTTCTTATTCCTTCCATTCCCTAGCACACTTGGGGGTTTTTGCCTCCTTGCATCTTTGGGTGAACCATGGGCTCATCCTGGCTTTTTCATTATTCCTGTTACCCTTGGGTACAAACCTCTCCTCAGCCTCCTTGCACATTGTTGATACATATTCCATCATCTCATTAACTGGCTTCCCTGCCAGTTCTCTGTCCCACTGAACCTCATTCAGGAAGTTCCTCATTCCTGTGTAGTCCCCTTTCCTGTAGTTTGGTTTCATTTGTCCTGGCCTTCCTGCTTCCCCCTCCACTTGTAGCTCTACTGTGTATTCGTAGCTCAAAACCACATGATCGCTTGCCCCAAGGGGTCTTTCATATGTGATATCCTCAATATCTGCACTACTCAAGGTGAATACTAAGTCCAGTCTTGCTGGTTCATCCTCTCCTCTCTCTCTTGTAGTGTCCCTTACGTGTTGGTACATGAAGCTTTCCAGTACCACCTCCATCATCTTAGTGCTCCATGTATCTTGGCCCCCATGTGGCTCCAAGTTCTCCCATGAGAGCTCCCTGTGGTTAAAGTCACCCATGATCAGGAGCTTTGCCCTGCATGCATGAGCTCTTTTGGCCACTGCAGCCAGTGTGTCATACTCTTGCCTTGGCCTCCTGCTGTTCTGTGGTGGGTTATACATCACTGCAATTATCACCTTGGGACCACCAGAGTGAAGCGTTCCCGCTATGTAATCACTTTCTTCTCCGCTGTCTCCTCTCTCCAGCTCATCAAAATTCCGTCGGTGTTTGATCAGCAATGCCACTCCTCCACCCCCCCTGTTCCTTCTGTCTTTTCTCAGGATCTGGTATCCTTCTGGAAAGATGGCATCTGTTATCATACCTGTAAGGTTGGTTTCTGTGATCGCTATGATGTCTGGTGATGCCTCTTTGACTCTTTCGTGCCACTCCTCCCACTTGTTTGTTATTCCATCAGCGTTTGTGTACCATGCCTTCAGTTTCCTTTCCAACACTGTAGTTTGGGGGGCCTGTGGGGGTGGGAGACCTGGTAGCATACTGTGGGATTCATGGTTGGGGGTTGGTGGAAGCTGTGGGTATGGATTGTATTGTGTTTTGGGGATGGTGTGATTAGGTTGTGGGGTTCTGAGGATAGTTGTGTGTGGCTTGCCCTTGCTGCTCTGTCTGCTCTGACTGACCTCTGCTGGTTCCATCCTTGTCTTCTTTCCTAGCTCCTTTCGCTTTTTTTCCTCTCCCTCACTGCTGTCTCTCTGTTTGTGTTCTGTCTCTGTCAAGGAAAAACCTTTTGTACTTTCCGAGTTTTTTCAACCGTGGTTTCTCTTGGGGGATCCTGTTCCGCACTTTTCTGTCCTGAGAATCAGCTTGATCGGTCGGTTTCTCCCCTTCAAGTACCCCCCTATTCTCTAAAAATTTACAATCTCATCCATGTCTTCTCCCCCTATTTCCGTGATGATTTTCTCAATCTCCTTTCTTTCTTCCTGCCATCTTTCAGTGTGTGTCCTTTCCTCTCTCTCCTGAAGCCCAAGGATTATCACTGATTTTGTCCTTTCCTCCTCCCTTTGCCTCTCCCTCTGTGACTCTGGTTCCTGTCTGTATGTGGTCATTTTCTCCCTTGATTTTTCCAGTGACTCTTGGTAGCATGGTTGTGCCTCAACATTCGACCTCTCTCCCTCTCCATCTGCACCCATCTGCTCTTCCCTTCTACTCCCTGGCCCTTCTTTTCAGGCTGATATGACCTTAGCATAATTCATATCTCCTTCCTTCCTGTTCAGCCTCTCAGCTTCGTATGGTGTGTCTTCTCTGGTCACTACCCCTGAGACTTGCTTCAGCCTGTTTTCCTCAAATTCTAGGATCTTTACCCCGGCTACTGCAGTTTCGACTTGTGCCTCCCAATTCTTCGTCTCCTTCTCCAACCTCTTTTCCCATTTCACAGATAGCTCTTTCTCCATTTTTTCAAAAAGCTCTCCTAATTTTCTCTCCCATTCTTGCTCTATCCTTTTCCACTGTTCCTCCATCCATTCCTCCCTACCAGTACCATTGTCATCTGATCCCTGATTCCTGCGAGTCCCAACCATTTTTTTTTTTTAGTTAAAGAGAGAGAGAAAGAGAAAAAGAAAAAGGGGGAGAGAGTGAGAGATAGGGAGAGAGAGAAGGGGAGCCTAGAAGGAGGGGAAAAGAAGGGAAAAAGGGGGAGAAAGTGAGAGAGAGGGAAAAGGTAAGAGAGAAGGGGGAGTGACAAGGGAAGAGAGAGAGAGAGAAAAGAAGAGGAAGAGAGAAAGTAAGAAAGGAAGAGAGGAAGAGAGAGAGGGAGAGAGAGAGGAAGAGTGAGAGAAAGAGTGAGAGGAAGAGAGAGAGGAAGAGGAAGAGAGAGAGGATGAGAGGAAGAGAGAGAGAGGAATGAGAGAAAGGGGAGAGAAAAAGAGAGAGAGAGAGAGAGAGAGAGAGAGAGAGGAGAGAGAGAGAGAGAGAGAGGAAGAGAGAGGAGAGGAGAGGAGAGGGAGAGAGATGGGGGGGGGAAAGGAAGGGTTATAAGGGTCACTTCACAGGAAGGTGTAAATCCTGATATGTGTGTGTGTGTATGTGTGTGTGTGTGTGTGTGTGTGTTGTGTGTGTGTGTGTGTGTGTGTGTGTGTGTGTGTGTGTGTGTGTGCATGCATATGTGTGTGTGTGTGTGTGTGTGTGTGTGTGTGGTTGTGTGGTGTGTGTGTGTGTGTGCATATGTGTGTGTGTGTGTGTGGTGTGTGTGTGTGTGTGTGGTGTGTGTGTGTGTGGGTGTGTGTGTGGTGCTACAGCTATTCAAGTGCCTAACAGCAGAGCTGTTCTCACCTAGTGTGTGCATATGTTTATGTAAACAATCCTTATTTCCCACGTATGTACTACATTTGTATTGTATATGTACCCGATCTCTTGGTTCCCACTGTACTGTCTTATGCGTTTAAAATTACGTTCAAAAATATATACACTAGGCTTCGCCTATATGCTGCTACCTCTAAATTCTATTAAATGCCAGTAAATGCTGCTTATTCTAATTCTGATAGCTCGAGGAGAGTGAACCCCAATTCCAGCTAGAGACAGGTACTATTGACCCCATGCAACTCAAACTGTATGCACTTTAGTCTCTAGCTCATCTAATTTTTTCACTCACTGTATTTACTGACACATCTATACATATCTCTTATCTCCCTGGTCTTGAGTCGCACTTATTCTTCAAATACCCCACTGCGTTATTATGGCAACACTATTTAGGCCTGACACAATCGTTCACCCTTCCAACGGCCCCCACTAAACACTCAGCCACTATTTCCTTTGTTTTCTTTTCTGTGATCACTTACATTTCCTTTTTTCGGGGCTTAAGTGATTATATTCACTCTTATGTGTGCACAAGCCTATATGCCACACTCTATTCCTTATGGCACAGTCAGAAATTACCACCAAAACACGAGCTCAAACCACGTGACTCCTCCACGAGTGTGTGTGTGTGTGTGTGTGTGTGTGTGTGTGTGTGTGTGTGTGTGTGTGTGTGTGTGTGTGTGTGTGTAATTACATATAAAATTCAAATTTATGAACAGATTAGGCATTAATCACTAGTTTCCTCTTACTTTAGTATTAGGTAAAAAATAAAGAGACTTGTTACACAGTCCTGCTCCTTCTGTTTGCATGATATGTATTTCTAATCATTTTTCTTCTTCATTTTTTCCGTCATTGCCTAAGATTTTAGCAGTCGTGACTTCGAAAATGCGGCGAAGAATGAATAGAAGGACAATCATAGCCAAGTGGAGTATGAAGATCACGTCCAGCATGAGGAACTCCACCCAGGAGAGCTGTGCCGCTGGTGACCTCAGCTGAGGCGCACCTCTGTGACGGATGACGTACTCCGTCCAGAACACTGCCAGCTCCGTGGGTGATATAGGTTGATCCCTCATCGACAGTGACATCCTCAGCACATTTTCCTTATACCTGTGCACAAGTACAGCGAGAAAATCTGAAAGATCACACACACAAGTTATAAAAGAAAAAGAGAGGAAGCAGATATATTACATAATTAGTTATGAAAATGAAGGAGTGGGAGTTCAATTGTTTGAATTCAAGACGGATGAGGAATAGAATTAAAATGGAATATAGTAAGAGGTTATAGTAAACGTGAATACACCCGCACCTGAGATGACTTTATAGGAGTTTTGACCCAAGTGGTAGAATAATCGATGTGGATGACCTGAAAGTTAAAGTATGGAAAACTTGAATATACTATCGCATGTATGCATTGAATGCCAGGGAAAGATGATATTGGGAAGCCTCTAATTAAACTACTCAAAGAAAGAATTCTAGTTACATGTAATGCTATTATCAAGAATAGGAACGTTAATAAGTGTACGAGATTTGATGTGGTAATGATGACAAATTGATAGGTTACGTTTGAGTAATTAAAAACTTCGTAAATAGACTTCTGGATATGAACATATAGATTATTACTGAGAAATGGCGAAAGTAAGAGAAAGGGGAAGATGAACTACAAATTGAATGACATTATTATGAGAGAAGTGAAAATGATTGAACTGTAGGTGACAGTTGGAGGTACAATCAAATATAATAATAATAATTAATAATAATAACAACAATAATAATAATAATAATAATATCTTTATTTACTACAAGTACATGTACATGGTATACAGGCCTTGCTGACATCAATTCAAATTCAAATTCAAATTCAAAGTTCATTCTCTATAAGGATTACAATGCTGAGTTTACAGAATTTAGTTATTGTGTGGCTTATATGTAGTAAAATAATAATTACAGAGTGTACCACTAGAACACCTAGCATGGCTAGGCATTTCGGGCAGACTTAGATTAGATCTAATATAAAAAGCCCCTTGTTATGCTGAACATTTCGGGCAAATTAGGTCAGTGTCCCAGGATGCGACCCACACCAGTCGACTAACACCCAGGTACCCATTTTACTGATGGGGAACATAGACAACAGGTGGACAGAAACACTCCCGATGTTTCTACTCTGGTGGTCTAGAGAGAATGTAGATAACAAAGACGTCAAAGTTAAATATTTTAAATTTAAGAATTCAGTGTTAGATTTGTAAGGTGGATGCACATGGGAAGAGGAATGAATGGTGGAATGATGAAGTAAAGAAAAAGGTAAGGAAAGATAAAATTAACACGAGAGGTTTATACAAAAAGGAAATCGTAATTGGAAGGCAGAATATGTAATGAGAAGAAAAGAGATTGATTGTGGTGTCCCAGAGTTCTGTTAGTAGCTCACTCAGTTCACACATTCAGGTCCGTGGTTCGATCCCCTGTACAGGTGGAAACATTGGGCATGTTTCAGTAACATACTTGGTGTCCCTCTTCACCTAGCAGTAAGTAGGTACCTGAGTGTTAGTGAACTAATGTAGACCTGGGTTTTAGTGGACTGGGGAACAAGATTAACCTAAGTTTCCCATAATACTCTGCATAACCAGGGGCTTTTCTATTTAAAATGTCACTGATGTCGGCTAAATCTGTTTAAGTTGCACCAGGAACTTGAAGAAATAAAGATTATTATTATTATTATTATTATTATTATTATTATTATTATTATTATTATTATAAATGTTTAGTAACGGGATGCAAAAAGAGTCAGTGGGAGACTGTGTGAGACTTCATCAGCAAATTTTGATGAGGATGAGAAACGATTCTGAAGAGAGAGATTAAACATTTAAGAGAGCCTTTGGAGCAATCGACCTTGGCAGTTGAAAACAGAAGAGAGCAGACAAATGGTAGATGTTACCGATCAACACTGTGTCAAGCTACTTGACAGGAAACTTGTTAAAACAGTTAATAAATCTTCGACATCCACAAAGATTTTCCTTCAGATAAAATAAGAGTGATTTTATTACTACAGCAGGAACATAGTAATACCATGTGGGAGTGAGAGATGAAATACACTAGGGAAACACCACAACCTCTCGATCTTAGGAGCCATGGACTCAAGTTCGCCTGCAGCTGTGACGACCATAGCCGTTGGACGCTTCAGGAAGTGAATTGTCCAACAAGAAGGTGATTTATCCAGACCAAAATGTGTCAAGGCTGCTTTAATTGCTGTCTCCATTCCTTTATTGTCCGGCAGTTTTTGTATATCCGTCCTCTTGGCAAATAGGATATTGCCCAGACTGAAGGCACTGTCACATAAGAACATAAAATACAGAAACACTGCAGCAGGTCTAATGATCTATGTGCGGTATACGTAGAGTACATTAAATTTTATTCGTGGTTTATCATACAAAAATGTCAGCCAGTCAGGTTGAAGGGTTGACTCCATACAAACTGATGTATAATCCAAACTCTAGTCTGGTTGAACAAACATACTTTTTCTTTTGTATGAGTTACAAGCCAATGACTGTGAGCGAACTTTATGTGCTCTCTCACTTTTGGTGTTTCTTATATGAATGGTTTCTGTTTCCGTTGCTTTGCTACTTTCTTCCTCTTTGTACATATTGGGAGTATTGATAGCGAGAATATACGTTTATTTAAAAACTACCTCTTGGTATTTGTCTTTGCTTATAGTTTGAACCTTTGATGGTGATTTAAGTTACTGCCAGGTACTAGGGGCTTTTCCATATACATCCTTACAGGTACTTCTCAAACCCCTCTCATTAATATGCTTGACAGTTGCTCTATTACTATTCCTCTATTACCTCATGTCACCTGTCTCCCGTAACTAATAATTGCCCTGAATTGTACACAAGTTTCTTTTTCTACGTCATCATGAATATTTAATATATTTATATGTGAAGCTGTTGAAGAAGTGAATTCATGGGTATTGGGGAGAGGTGTGGAATTAGAAGATAATGAAGCTGACACGATGTGAGAGTTGTCACAATTACTCTTTAATGATCACACTTCTTTTGGGTGATTCTGAATCAAAGTTGCAAAGATTGGTGAAGGAGTTTGAAAGATGGTGTAAGAGAATGAAATTAAAAAACATTATAAATAAGAACAACGTGATGAAAATAACAAAAAGTCTAGGAATCGACATATTGTTTATCAGTCTGGAATATGAATGTGTTGTGTGGGAGTGAACACGTCGTTAGACAGGTCTACGAAAGACGAGGTGAACTACAGAATAGATGAGGTATGTGGAAAATAGTTCAAAAAAGTGTTATGTGGACGATTCGGTTTGGTTCTGTGAAAAATATAATTCAGAGGGTAGAGGAGGAGTTGTTGAGATGGTTAGACGTTTTGAGGGGATGGAACTTAAAGACTTATTGAAGGAGGGTACTAGCTGTAGCTAAAAAGGTTGCAGAGAGTGGGAAAACAAGGTTTTGAGTTGTAGGAACTTGATCATCCAGCAGGCGGGTGAGTGTGTCAGATCGGAGTAATAGCAGACTAGACGATTTTATGATTTGACGTGCTGTTAGACAGTAAGGTAATATTTATGAAATGATTTATGGAAACTGATTAGCCTGATTTGAATTCTACATGTGGGAAGTGTGTGGATGTTACAGCAGGTAGGTAATGAATTTTGATATCTGGTCTGCTGACAAGATTAATATTATATGAATAATGGAGAAGGTGTTTTTTATGTTTTTCTAGACTATGAAATGATTGTATTTTCTTCTAAAAAAAAATAAATAACGAAAAATATATTTGAAATTTAGAAGTTTTGGTGGATAAGAAAAGTTAATTGAGAATAAAGAATTTAATTACGTAACAGAGAGGCTATACTTTATCAAAAAACAATTAAAAAATCAAATTACATATAAAGACAAATTTACATACTTGGGGTCGATAAGAATTTTGGTGAGAGCTCCAACGATCATGTCCACAGTAAGTTCTTCCCATATCAAAAAGTCTCCTAATCCAGAGTTCTTAATAAACATGCTGTTCTTGGGTTGGTCACCGTAGATAGGTAGAGCGAGGAGTGGCGTGGCGTGGTAGATGGCTTCTTGCATACTGAGGAGACCACCATGTGTGATGAACACCTTCACGTTGTTGTGAGCTGTGGAACAATGGTAGTGAAAGCAACTAGAGGCATGGTACATTGTAAATTAAAACTGAATGATCTTTTAGGTCGTCATTGACGCTTATCAAGTTTTAAATAATAAGGAAAAGGGAATAAAACCTGAATGAGGCTAGGGAAGACGGAGGTTAGGAGACAGTTAGGTCTTGGTTCTTAGGAGAGGCTATCTATTGGGTTCTAGCTCTTGGTCCCAAAAACGGGACATCCTACTATGGGTAGCTCCATTTCTTAGGATCAAATATTTCTCTCTAGTCTTATCACCCAATGGCTAGACTTATTGCTGCCGTCAATAAATGTTAGAACATCATTGTAGTTGGGGACAGTCAGGTCAGAGTCAGAGGATGTCCTTACCTGGTTGCAATTACCTATTTGTTGTAGAAGGGTCGAATACAACTCCTGGTGCCGCCTCTTTGATGGTCTCTACTAGGCCAATTTTTTCCATACTCAATGAGCTTGATCTTATCTCCTCTTAAAGTTATGTATGGATTCTGCCTCCACTACATGACTCTCCAGACTGTTCCGCTTCCTGACAACTCTATGGCTGAAGATATATTTCCTAACATCCCTGTGACTCAAGTCTTCAGTTTCCAATTGTGACCACTTTTTGCTGTGTCCCATCTCTGGTACAGCCTGTCCCTATCCTCCTTGTCATTTCCCCGGAGTATTTTATATGTCGTTATCATGTCCTCTCATCCTTCCTGGCTTCAAATGTTGTCAGGTTCATTTAACTTAACCTCTCTTCGTATGACATACCCCTTGGATCCGGGAATAGTTTCGTTGCATTCCTTTGCACTTTCTTTAATTTCTTTACATGCTGACCAGGTGTGAGCTCCAAACTGATGCTGCATACTGCAGTATGGACACGACATACACGGTGTAGTGTCTTGAACGATTCCTTACTGATATGTCGAAACGCTATTCTTAGGTTTGCTAGGCGCCCATATGTTGCAGCAGTTACTTGGTTGATGAGCGCCTCAGATGTGCTCGGTATTATATTCACCTCAAGATCCTTTTCCTTGAGTGAGGTTTGCAGTCTTTCGTCCTCTATCCCGTAATCTGTCTGCAGTCTTTTTTGCCTTTCCAAAATCTTCATGACTTTCCACTTGGTGAGGTTGACCTCCAGGAGCCAGTTGCTGGAACAAGAATGCAGCCTGTCCATATCCCTTTGTACTCCTGCCTGATCCTGATCCGATTGAATTATCCTCATTAGCTTCACATTGTCTGCAAACAGTGACACTTCTGAATCTATCCCTTTCATCATGTCATTCGTAATAAACCAGAAGTAGCACCGGTCCTAGGACTGACCCCTGTGGAATCCCGCTCGTCACAGACGGCCCCACTCACACCTCGTCATGTACAATGATTTGTTGTTGCCTTCCTGTTATGTACCTTCTGATCCACTGCTGTTATATCTGCCTGACCCTCTAGCATATGCACTAATCTCTTCTGTGGAACTGTGTCGAAAGAGTTCTTTCAGCCAAGGTAAATGCAAGCTACTCTCTCTCTCTCTCTCTCTCTCTCCTCTCTCTCTCTCTCTCTCGTCTTACCTCCGTTACCTTCTTAAATTTCTAAAAGGGTTTTGTGACACAGTTTTTCCCTTTCCCCTGAAACCGTGCGGGTTTAATGTACGCTCTTTCCCTTTCAAGTTCCCACACTCTTCTCCTGGAAATTTTTTTCCCCTGAATTCAATATTAGAAATTTTAGTGATATGGAGTATTTTAATGCGCGTGTTTGTCTCCTTTCAAAAAAACGAAACATAGCGTCTTCCACCCTAGGTTGAACCCTTGTTTCGATGATTGTTGAAAATTTTTGTATTGGGGCACACAGCGCCTCTCTTCCTCTCTCAGGACCCAAGGGAAGATGTTGTCTGGTCCCCTCCCTTTGAGGTATAAAGTTCACTTAGAGTTTTTCACCCCCTGGTTGTGTGTATTATGTCACACTTGTTGGCGTTCCCATCATTCCGGTTTTCAGGCCCTTTTCTGTCTCCACTAAATTTGCTTCTCAAAATTTCCAATTAACCTTAATTAACAAACTTCCCGGCTTTAAATGTGACTATCCCTTCGTTATCAGACGTTACCTGGTCCTTGAAGTTGTTATCCTCCGATGGACCACAAAGTTTTTGGCCGTTTGTTTTTTGAGTAGTAGCAAATGCCTGGGCTCCCCCCCCTTTACTATTTTTTCTGTCCGACACTCTCTTTTTTTCCTGGGCCATTGCCTATTTTTTCCCAGTTAGCGCAATTGTTTTGGCCTCTCACCCCCTTTTTGGGTGAATGAATGGTTCTTTTCTGGCCCCCATTTTTTTCTGTTGCTCTTTGGTACAAACCTCTCTGCCTCATTGCATTTTGTTGTCACGTAGTCTATCATATCATTTACTAATTTTCCCACCAGTTTTCTTTCCCACTGAATCTCATGCAGGAAATTCATTATGCATGTGTAGTCCTCCCTTTTGTAGATTGGCTTCTCAGGTCCCTACTCTTCCTGCTTCCCTCTCTACTTGTATCTCTACTATGTACTTGAATCTCAGGAATTTCCTGGTGAGTCACCCACAACTAGTAACTTCGACATGTCAACGTGGGCTCTACTGGCCCACTTGGGCAGGGCAATTTGCATCAACTATTGCACTGATGCTCTCATATTATTCCCTTGGCTTCCTGCTATTCTGTGCGGTTTTGTGTGTACTCACCTAGTTGAGGTTGCGGGGGTCGAGCTCCTGGCCCCGCCTCTTCACTGACCGCTACTAGGTCACTCTACCTGAGCCGTGAGCTTTATCATACCTCTGCTTAAAGCTATGTATGGATCCTGCCTCCATTACATCGCTTCCCAAACTATTCCACTTACTGACTACTCTGTGGCTGAAGAAATACTTCCTAACATCCCTGTGATTCATCTGTGTCTTCAGCTTCCAACTGTGTCCCCTTGTTACTGTGTCCAATCTCTGGAACATCCTGTCCTTGTCCACCTTGTCCCTTCCTCTCAGTATTTTGTATGTCGTTTTTCATGTCCCCCCTATCTCTCCTGTCCTCCAGTGTCGTCAGGTTGATTTCCCTTAACCTCTCCTCGTAGGACATACCTCTTAGCTCTGGGACTAGTCTTTTTTGCAAACCTTGCGTGTGTGTGAGTGTGTGGTGTGTGTGTGGGGTTGTGTGTGTGTGTTTTGTGTGTGTGTGTGTGTGTGTGTGTGTGTGTTGTGAGTGTGTGTGTGTGTGTGTGTGAGTGTGTGTGTGTGTTGTGTGTGTGTGTGTGTGTGTGTGTGTCGTGTGTGTGGTGTGTGGTGTGTGTGTACTCACCTAGTTGTACTCACCTAGTTGAGGTTGCGGGGGTCGAGTCCGAGCTCCTGGCCCCCCTTCCCTTTACTGTGTGTGTGTGTGTGTGTATGTGTGTGTGTGTGTGTGTGTGTGTGTGTGTGTGTACCACCTATTTGCTCACCTATTTGTGGTTTCAGGGGCCGAGTCTTAGCTCCTGGCCCGCCTCTACCCTCAGTTGCTACTGGGTCCTCTCTCTCCCCGCTCCATGAGCTTTATCATACCTCGTCTTAAAAAACTATTATGGTTCCTGCCTCACTACCATCACCTTCTAGGCTATTCCCCTGCCCAACAACTATGACTGAAGAAATGCTTCCTAATATCTCTCTGACTATCTGTGTCTTCAACTTCCAATTGTGACCTTTGTTTCTGTGTCCCCTCCCTGGAACATCCTGTCTTTGTCCACCTTGGGCTATTTCCGCCCAGTATTTTATATGTCGTTATCATTTTCTCCCCTGACCCTCCTGTCCTCTAGTGTCGTCAGGCCGATTTCCCTTAACTTTCTTCATTAGACATTCCCCTTAGCTCTGGAACTAACCTTTTCACAAACCTTTGCACTTTCTCTAGTTTCTTGACGTGCTTTATCAAGTGCGGTTCCAAAAGGGGCTGCATGCTCCAGTATGGGCCTGACGTACACGGTGTACAGTGTCTTGAACGATTTCCTATTAAGGGATCGGGAAAGCTGTTCTCAGGTTTGCCAGGCGCCCATATGCTGCAGCAGTTACCTGTTGATGTGTGCTTCTGGGGACATGCTCGGTGTTATACTCACTCCAAGATCTTTCTCCTTGAGCGAGGTTTGCAGTTTTTGGCCACCTCCTATACTCTGTCTGGGGTCTTTTGCCCTTCGCCTATCTTCAGACTTTGCATTTGGGGGGATTAAAAACGAGAAGCCATTGCTGACCCGGTGTCCCTTGTTCAGGGTTTTTTGAAAACCTCCCCGGCCTATCTGATTTAAATTTTTCCTCATTAATTTACTCGTCTGCGAACAGAGCACTTCTGAGTTAACCCCTTTCCCCCATGCGTTTAATATACCCAAAAAAAGCACTGGTCCCAAGACCGACCCCGTGGGACCCCACTCGTACAGGCCAATTTTGATACCCATTACGTACCATGACTCGTTTTGCCTCCCTGTCAGGTTTCTTGATCCATTGCAGTGCCCTTCCCGTTATATAGCCTGTTCCCCAGCTTCTGCACTAATCTCTTGTGGGAACGTGTCAAAGGGGCCCTTTTTGCAGTCCAGAAGATGCAATCAACCCGCCCCTCTCTCTCTCTCGTGTCTAACTTCTGTTTCTTTATCAAAACTCCAGAAAGGTTTGTGAAAAAGTTTTTCCCTTTCCTGAACCAGCGGTTGGCGTTTATACTTTGTTCCCTTCCAGTGCTCCACCACTCTCTTCCTGATAATCTCCTCTATAACTTTGCATACTATACACGTCAGTGACACAGGTTTATAGTTTAGTGCCTCTTTTCTGTCTCCTTTTTTAAAAATGGGAACTACATTTGCCGTCTTCCATACCTGAGGTAGTTGCCCAGTTTCAAGGGACGTGTTGAAGATTGTGGTAAGTGGCACACACAATGCATCCGCTCTCTCTCTAAGGACCCACGGGGAGATGTCCGGTCCCATTGCCTTTGAGGTATCGATGTCCCTTAGCAGTTTCTTCACCTCCTCCTCATCTGTATGTATGTCATCCAACACTTGTTGGTATATTCCTTGCTGGTGTCCCCATCTGGTCTGTCCCCCAAGAGGCCTTCCTGTCTCCATTGTAAATACTTCCTTAAATCTCATGCTGATCTCTTCACGTACCTCTTGATCGTTTCTTGTGAGTTCTCCACCTTCTTTCTTCAGCCTTATCACCTGGTCTTTGACTGTTGTCTTCCTCCTAATGTGGCTATACAGCAGTTTCTGGTCAGACTTGACTTTCGATGCTATGTCGTTCTCGTACTGTCGCTGGGCCTCCCTCCTTATCTGTGCATACTCGTTTCTGGCTCTTCTACTAATCTCCTTATTTTCCTGGGTCCTTTGATCCTGTTCCCTTTCCATTCTCTGGTGCACTTAGTTTGTGCCTCCCTACACCTTTGGGTAAACCAAGGACTCGGTGGCCCGGTGGCCTGGTGGCTAAAGCTCCCGCTTCACACACGGAGG